GCATTTACAAGACTTTGTCGTAGGTCTTATATAGTGTGTGTGTGTGTGTGTGTGTATGTGTGTGTGTGTGTGTATATATATATATATATATATATTGCAATAGTTAGCAATGATTGGTCAGATCATAAAAAACACTTGGGAATTGTGCTACCACTACTCAAAGATTCAGGTCTTACTGTAAGGGTATCAAAATATAAAATAGGAGCTGCCAAAGTTCCTTACTTAGGACATTGGTACAGGGGTGGCCAATTTTTTCCTGCTCCCTGGAAGATGGAATCTATTGTTAACTGGCCCAGTCTTTCATAGGTTTGGTTAATATTACCACCAATTTGTACCTGGTTTTAGCGACATTGCTAGCACAAACTTGTGCAAAAAAATGAAGACAAATTAAATAGTAAAGACAAAGGTGTGTCAGGAAGGTTTTGATAAGGTAAAGAAAAGCCTTTCAGAAAAACCTGTTCTAGCCAGGCCAAATTTTGACAAAATGTATGAGCTGTGTACTGATGCCTGAGACACTGGTTTGGGGCAGTACTAATGCACTCAGCGGGAAGTAACAAAAAGCATCCCATTGCTCTCGTGAGTAAGAAACTGACACCCACTGAACAGAATTAGTCAGTCATAGAAAAAGACTGTGATGCTGTGGTGTGGGCAGTCAATCAGTTAAGGGCCTCTCTAGTTAAGAGAAAATTTAGGGTCCGGACAAACCATTCTCCATCGAACCAAAGGTACCAATTCCACACTGTTACACTGGAGCACCATCCTCTAAGAATGACATGGGAATTCTGCATATTAAGGGGAGATAATGTAGTAGCAGATGCTTTAGCCAGATAAGAGGGTTATGAACCAACGCTCAGCCAGTGGCTAACTCTACCACATCATTGTACAAGGTGAATGAAGTAAGAACCCCTCAATATTAACTGGCAAACAGTTCACTTTGTAACAGCAGCTCCTATCAGGCCTGACAAATTCATGCTACCCAACACAGTGCTGTCATAGTATTTATCTATAAAGAATGTTGCATGAGATCTTAAACGAAAGCCAGGATCATGCTGGCCATTAACATTATTGTGACTATATCGTATGTACTGATTACATTTAAATAAGGCATGTATATTTCCTGAAAATACATCCTTAATAGTTTGTATCACAGTGTTATTCCCTAGCAGAGGTAAAGAGCTGGTTTTGCCAGAGAAAGGGGTGTATATTCACATGTTTAGGATCATATATAGATTAAGCATTGTACATGAAAACATAATGGCTGCTATATTTGCATTTCAAGTCAACATGAAGCTGTGAAGACAACATGGAGCCAACATATTCGAGAACAAACAGTGCGGTGCCATCCTGACTCTAGGGTAAAAACAATGAGTTTGGGCAACGTAAGGAGAAGCAAAAAGCCATTTTGTTACCTATTTGCTCAGGAAACCTCTTGTAGGGTGGGAAAATATTCATGAACACTTGGATCCTGGTTTTGACTGAAAACTCCCTCACAGATTGAATCCTTGGGAGAAAATCTTCTTTATAAAATAGAAGAGGTAACCTTTAATAAGCGTAGATGTAGGATTGCATTTTATGTTTTATTTTCTAAACCAGTTGTGTTTCCACTCATTATCCTTTTTCAGCATCTCTTAAATCTTAAGCTTTTTGAATAAACTTAGATTTGCTTTAGATTACAGTGCTGTGTTGCCATAAAACACCTGATCCTGAATTGTACCAGTCAAGCTATGTGTACACTGTCTCTTTGGGGACCGCTTTCATGGTAATTACACTAAGTGCCCAGTGACAGGCGCT